GACAATTTTTATAAAAAAAAGTGATATGGTGACTTTTTCATTTTACACAGTATTTTTTACTTTCTAAAAACTTTTCATATGATTTTTCAAAACACCCATAATTTTAAGGGTATTTTTGTAAGTACTCATTTTGCCATTAGGAGTGGGCATGAGTTGGGTTGGGTCGGGTCGGTTTTTGTCTCAACCCGAACCCAACCCAATATGATCGGTTTAATTAAAATTTAATCCAACCCAACCCGTGTAAATGTTGAAACCTAACCCAATCAAGTATCGGTTGGATTGGTCGGTTTGTGACAACTTGTCAACAAAAATTAAAATCATTCAATTGTCTATTATACTGAATTCGAATAGACAAGATTAAATAATAAGTAAATAAATAAAATTATGTGTCATCTTATTTCTCATTAGTCGAGCCTAAAAAGAACAAAATGCATTTAACATAACACGGATAATTTATACTACATTTCTTGTGGGAATGAGAGTAAACTCCTTTAAAATGCACCAAACTAATTAGAATTACACTATCCACTCATACTTTTTAGGTTCCTTTTACTTTTTAGGCATTTTTTTTAAGTAGGTGGGTTAGGTTGGGCGGGTTTATTCGGTTTTCATGAGTTAACCCATAACCCGACCCAACCAGACCCAATCCGCCTATATAGCCAACACATCCAACCCATGTAAAAACAACAAAATAACCAACCAAAATAATCGGGTTGGTTCGGGTTGAACGGTTTTAATGGGTTCGATCGAGTTTTGCCCACTCCTAATTGATACCTAGAGAGCCCGTATCCAATAAAACGTTTGTGGACGCCCTATTGTGAGGGGCCGTATACCAAGATCAATTCCTAGTGTACATATAGTGGTGGCAATGGGCCGAATCGAGTCGGCTCGGCCCATCTACCCACGAGCTCAGCTCGTGCTCAAGGGTTGAGCTTGGCTCGGCCCACGAGCTGTGAGCTCACGTGCCGAGTCGAGCCGAGCCCATGAGCTTGTGTTTTTTTTTTTTACTTTTTTCTTTAGAATTTTTACGTGCCCTCAGCTCGTGGGCTTGTGAACTTTAGGCTCGTGGGTCGTGCCCAAGAGTAGTTCACGAGCTCGGCGAGCCTTGCTCAACTTGCTAGGCGAACTTACAACTCGACTCATGCTCATGCTCGTCATTTGACGAGCTCGAGTCGTCGACGAGCCCCTCGACCCATTTGCCACCACAATGTACATATAATGAAGCGTGGAGAGATACTACTTGAAAAGTTTAGCCAATTTTTGTTTGAAATTACCTCTTTCCCGCCAGTACCACACATCAATCCGTCCTTTACTTTCTCTCCCGCCCATTCGCCATTCCCAATCCAATCTGAGAAGCTTCTCGTGCTCTTCACCATTTCCCCAATCTTTGCTAATCTGCAATACCTTTATTTCCCCTTTTTCTTTATTCAGTTTGATTCTTCAACTAGGGTTCGTAATAGTTTATTTCGCTGCATTTCTACTTAAATTTGAAGTCTCTACAGTTAATTTACCAAAAAATTGGTCCCCAACGTTCAGTTTCCAGAGTCAATGGGGGAACTCAAGCAAGATTTAGCATATGAAGATCCTTCAAAAACATTCATCGGAGTTCGCTTTGTTCTCCTTGGGTTCAATTCCATTGAAAAAGAAAAGGTTTTTCTTTTGCATTTCATTTCATTTCATATAGATTTAGTTTTTATTTGTGGGTTTTCATAGATATAATAGTACTTGATTTATTGTGTCTTGGTTATTTTTGTCATTTTCTTTACTTGCTTAGACACGGGCGAAGCTTTTGGAAGGCGGAGGGTTTGATGCAGGTGATTATGGTCCGGATTGCACTCACGTGATTGTTGATAAGCTTATTTACGTGAGTAAAGTGATTGTTATTAATAAAGCCTTTAAGAAAGAGCAACGAATTAGAGAAGCTGTAGTTTCACTAATTAATATGGCTATGAAGTTGAGACCTGAATTGGTGCATATGTGCGATGCAGGATGATCCCTTATGCATTACTGCTCGAAGAGATGGCAAGACATTGGTGACTGCCCCATGGGTTGATCATAGTTTTGATGTGGGAATGCTCGTTGATCCATCCTCTGTCAGTTTCTGTTTCCAATTGCACTTCATAAATTTGTTTCTCCGTGCCATTTTCTTTTCAAGCTGTGTCTAATTTAAGCTTTTTGCAAATAAATATTAAGGGGGTGTTTGATGCACATTATTGAGAAGAAAACGCATTTTATGATGTAATGTGATAAAAAATGTGTGGTTAAAAAATAAGTAAAATTTTTGGATTTGCGTGTAATATTATTTTATTGAAAAATGTGTGGTTGAAAATGAATATTGATAGAATGAATTTTGGGAACATTGTGGATCAAACAAGGGCAAAATGCAATTCAAGATCCTTCTCTCTCTCTCTCTCACTCTCACATTTTTTCTTCTTTCTTGCCTTTTAGGAACATAGAAACAATTTAGTTATGCCAACGGGAAAGCAGCTTATTCTGGCTCATCAAGTTTGAAACATAATTGCTTTTTTCTCCTTTGATCTTTACTGGATCAATATTGTGCCTATATGGTGTCTTCCATTTTTACTTACCATTGGATGTTGCTTCTCACACTCAATTAAGAAATTTCCACTTAAAAACATGGTTGATGATATGGCAATATGTGGTCTAGCGTGTGGATTCTGATTTCATCTTTTCTAATCAGTGCACTGTGCTTAGAGTATTATTATGGTCTCTATGACTATTAAGTACTTTTTCAGAACTTTGAGCTCTTTCATTTTTGTTGTACTTATGATTTTCTTCAGGTTATGTATAGACCTTTAAGAGCTTTGAATGGGATTCCTGGTGCCAAATCTCTTGTTGTTTGCTTGACTGGATATCAACGGCAGGACCGAGATGATATAATGGTTCTTCTAACCCCTTCTCTCTTGTGCTTTCTAGAGATTAACTAAAGTACAGCATATTGTCTAAAATTCTAGTTAACTGCTAAATGCTTTATTAAAAATAATTCTCTACTAGCTGTTGCTTAAAGATTGTGACATGTAATCTTACTTGCTCCTTTACTTTGCTCAGACCATGGTTGGATTGATGGGCGCAAATTTTTCGAAGCCATTGATCGCTAACAAGGTTACTCATCTTATATGCTACAAATTCGAGGGTGGGTTCATTTATGCTTTTTGTATGTGCACGAGTGCAATATATTGGATTGGAGTTAATAACGTGTTTTGATTTTTCCTGTTTTTTATATTATATGTCATTTTTTGTACTTTTTATGTTACCTCAGCATTTTACATGGCTGATTCACCACCTTCAAAATGTCTAACTTTTGAAGTAATAATGGCACCTGAACTACTAGTCGAATTTCCAGGGCCTTGTTGATGTGTACATCTTTGGTGTCTGTTTTTTTCTATTACACAAAGGTGGATATTTAAGACTTCATGCTATGGCAGTCGTATTTACAATTTCTTCTGGCTATTAGTGACACTGCATGACTTATTTTATACTGTCCACAAATCTGGGTTCCTCCTTGATTCTTTGCTGCTAGTACATTACAAATTTGTTAAGATTGGCCACGGTCTGAATTGGCCTGGTTTTTGCCAGAAGGAATGACATGACAATAAATCATCTTGTTATAGAACTGGCTAACTGATTGGTTCTCTACAGTAAAGAAACTGAACCGGGGAGGGTCCAATTAGCTAGAATTTTCCTACCAATGAATTTACATTTTTAAAGAAGCTGAGAAGTTAAAAAATTTAAAGAAGCAAACTGTTTTAAATGTTCTACTTCTCAAGTTCACCATTGCACCTGAGAACCAGAATAAACCAGCTAGACCAGTCCTTCATGTAATTTTTGCCCACCCCCAAGCTTAGTTGGCTATTCATTTACGTGCTTCTTATCGTGGAGATGATGGGTCCATTTCTGGATAGAGTTGTTCCACAATATTTAATTTCAGTATGTAAGCTCAGGTGTATAAGTTTTTAGTTAGGCATACTATAGTTTTGGTTTTTAGATGATAGATTGTGTTACTTAAACCCCGTGGCCCCTCAAAGTGACCTAATATCATTGTTTCACTAACAGTCCCATTAACATTAATAACTCCAATGATATTGGATGATGCACAATGTTTTTTGAACTTGCCTATGAAGGACGTAATAATTACTTTATTCACTTGATATATTCTTTTATCTTTATTTAAATGCTATGACTTGTGTTCTCGTTTGATATTGTGAATGTTTTGCTAATGAAATTCATTTTTATTTTATTAACCAAGTATTCTAATATTTCAAATTCAACTGAAACATGATAATTTTATCCAAACAGGGGACAAGTACGAGCTTGCCAAGAAAATGAAGAAGATAAAGCTTGTTAACCATTGCTGGCTGGAAAATTGGTATGGTCAAGCTTGATCTTTTCACTGTTTGTGCCTCGATGGATCCTTTTGTTCTTCTACCATCAAATGAATTAGTTTTGATCCATTTTCTCCCTCCCTTGCTTAAATATGCTTTAGGCTGCTGCTTTTTAATATTTTTCTTTGTTTTACATGGTGTTTCATCTCTTATATATGTTGCAGCTTGAAGACTTGGGAGATTCTTCCAGAAGCTGATTATGATAAAAGGTATGGTACAAGTTGGTAGGTTTTTTCTAATGACAATGCAAAAGTGTGGATAGATTCCATATTGTCTTTTACCTTGGCACTTCATATGGTCTTTTTCCTTTACAGTGGATATGAGTTGGAGATGATGGAAGCCGAGGCCAAGGATTCTGAAGAAGAGACAGAAGATGTGGAAAGAAAAAGCATAGCCAATCCTCAAAATACACAAGCTAAGTTGAAAAATCCCCGTCAATCATTGATGCAGGAAGTCTCAAAAAAAAATTTAGATTCGTTTGCATCTAAAAGTTCGACAAATGTAGGAAACATTAATGAGGATCTATCAAATGCTGGAAAAGAGACTAAATTTGGTAATGTAGAACCTGCTGGGAATTTTTTAGAAGAAATTCCTAACTGTCATCTTGAAATGTTGGCTTCTTGTAATAATGAGGGTCCTGGGAAGATTCTGTCCAGTCTGCCATCAAACACATTTGATGATCAAATGATTTTTGAAAAGGCTGATAATGATGCTGCCTCAATGTTGAAAAGTGCTAAGAGATCTCCTCATTCTAGTACGTCAAAATCATCTGGGAAAAGTTATTCTAGGAGAAGTCCCAAGAAGTCCAGGCTTCCGCTATGCTCAGAAAGAATTGTTAGTAATTCAGGAAATCCTTCCACTGCAAATAAACTCGGCTGTGACATTAACATATCGTCATTGGAGGAAGAGCAAGTTGAAGCTGGCTTTGATGGAATGGAAACACCTTCCAGTGGAACTATATTGCATCTTGACAAGGGGGAAAATTCGTTGTTGCATGATAAGAGGAAAAAGACCATTTCCTATGGTAGCTCCAAATCTCTAAAGATAAGTCACGATTCAGAAACAATCTTGGAAGGTAAATCAGTGGTGAAGAGAACTGACAGGTCGCCCTCTGGATCCTTGATCAATGGTTCATGTAGGATGGGTAATCACGTTTCTCCTGAAAATAATATTGGTTATATGGGTGAGAGCACGGAATTGAATTTTACAGATAATGTTACTAAAGTTGTAACAGCAATGACTAGGCAAGAATGCAGTGACATTGCACACCTCTCTTCTCTCTACGAATCAGAATGTAGGAGCTTGACCAGTGATTTGGAAGCTAAAGAAATTTGTCTAAGCAAAACTGAACATCCCATAGCTCAGATTGTGGTGCAGCAGAGTAATCCGCAGAATATTGACGCCCCATCTCCTGGAACCAAAATATCAGAGGTTAAGAAATCCAGTGATCAGGCTCAGTTGGAACTTCTAAAGAGAGGGGATAGTGTGCCGAAGTCAAAAACACTGGATCGGAGGAAACTTTCAAAAAAGACATTGGGCTCTAGAACATGTCTCAGCAAAGGGAATACAACAAAACCTAAAGATTTCATTGAGATTCCTAAAACTTTGCTGCAGAACAATTCTGTAATTCGTTCAGTTGAGGAGATCGAAATGGAAGACGATGAGAAGTTTGGTAGTTCTAAGAAGCCTGAGATTTCTCCTCCTACAAATAGTGTTAGTATGGGTCAAAAGACTGGAATGAGTAATCCTGGGATATCTGGAAATGAAACTATTAATAAAGATGGATCAATGGATGATGAAAATGAGGATCCAGAGGACAAAGAGGAAAACAAGTTTGATGCGGCACTTGATAAAGAAAAATCTGCTGAGATTGAAGCACAACATTTAGAAAATACGTATACTGATAAAAGGGTAGGTGTGAATGATTCATCAAAGCAAACTGATGGCAGCATTATAGGTGCAATGGCTAAGGCAGAAAATATTAGAAAAGAAGATAAGGGCATTGGAGCTGAAATGGCTGTTAGTAGCAAAGAAAATGTGATTAGTGAATCAAAACTTGTACAACATGGTGGAGAGAAAAACTTTACCAAGGACAAAAAACGGCCTTTAAATAAAACTAAGAGAACGGTGGCAACAGATGTAGGAAATCTTAACGAAATTGGACGAAAGGATGGGTGCAATAATAAACGGATTAAAGAGAAAATAATGGCACAAAATGAAAAAACAAGTCCTTCTGCAGGTAAAATAAAGGCTTGTCCATCCAAAAAGTCAAAGAACTTGACAGAAGTGGAGAAAGAAAACAGTCATTTTGTTATGAGGAGCCAAAATATTAGTAATGATAAAAATCTCAGAGGGAAAGTGCTGCTAAAATCTTCTAAAAGTCCTTTGAAGGACTCAAAGGCTGCCAATGCAGATATGGATTTGGCGAGGGTGGAACAGATCCTAAAAGTGAAAACAGAACCTATATGGTTTATATTGAGTGGGCACAAGCTGCAAAGGAAGGAGTTTCAGCAGGTGATAAGGTGTTTGAAAGGAAGAGTATGCAGGGACTCCCACAAGTGGTCATATCAGGCGACACACTTCATTGTTCCAGATCCTGTACGTAGAACTGAAAAGTTTTTTGCTGCTGCAGCATCTGGAAGGTATGCCCTAACTCAAGGAATAATTTTAAGTTCTTTTATTTTCGTAGTAAAGTCTATAAGAATGTTGATGAATAGGTTGTGTGAATGTTGAAATAGAGTGCTGACTTGCACTTGCTTGCACAATTTGAAGTTGGCGTGACACTTTTCTGCCAATTATATTGTCTTTTGCAGTTGGATTCTCAAGACTGATTACTTAACTGCTAGCAATGAGGCTGGAAGATTTTTGCTAGAGGAGCCATATGAATGGCACAAGAAATGCTTGACTGAAGATGGTGCAATAAACCTAGAGGCTCCAAGGAAATGGCGTCTCGTGAAGGAGAGAACTGGTCATGGCGCATTTTATGGAATGCGTATTATTATATACGGAGAATGTATAGCCCCTCCTCTGGTATGTTTTATTTATTGTTCATTATCTAAGTTTGTTACAGTGTTTTCTATACATGAACGCAAAATAATTGTATTTTTCTCATCTGTGGGACTATTTGTCCCTCTCCCTTGTTGTTGAGGCAAGTGAGAAGGGGGGATACATTATTCTATAATACTCGTTTATCCCTTTTCTGATGATTAGGAAACTTTGAAAAGGGTAATTAAGGCTGGAGATGGTACTATATTGGCGACCTCACCTCCTTACACACGCTTTCTTCAATCAAGTGTTGACTTTGCCATTGTCAGTCCCGGCATGCCACGAGTTGATATGTGGATTCAGGAGTTTCTAAGACACGAGATTCCATGTGTTTTAGCCGATTACCTTGTAGAGTACGTCTGCAAGCCTGGCTACTCCCTTGAACGACATGTACAATACAATACCCATGTTTGGGCCGAGAAGTCTTTCAATACCCTTGTAAACCACATAGAAGAGGTTGTTGAGGATGCCAGAAGATCACAGCATTGATGATGTAGCATGTCAAGTATGTGGATCTCATGATAGAGGTGTCAAAATGTTGATCTGTGGTGATGAGAATGGTTCTGCAGTCTGTTGCATTTGTATTCATATTAACTGCTCCGATCCTCAGTTTGGAAGTATTCCAGATGAAAACTAGTTCTGTCCAACATGTAACAAGAACAGAGAAGGCAGAAACAAAAAGAGTCCAACATGTAGCAAGAACAGACTAGTTTTGTGTTTTTCGATGGATAATCAATTTAGTATATTTTCGTTCGGGCTGTATCATGCTAATAAGCTTTGCACTCTTTCTTTTATATCAATGTTATTATCACGTGTGTTTTATGGCAGTGACAACTTTTTCTTTTTACCATGTTGATGTGATTAATGATGGGACATCTTTAGCTGTACATGTTTTGACTATGATATCATATTAAGAAATAAAAACTACATAAAATGAGGGGGGCTGGGCCGTACTATTTGTAATCTGAGGATGTTGCAGAGGATTATTTTGAGGTAATGTCCTTAATCTATAATACAACCACATGAGGACTAGATTAGGCCCTAAATTGTTGTACTATGACGTACTGAATTGTATGTTAATAAGATGAATATGCATGTCTATGAAATACAAATATAATCTGTCTACTCGACATATTATATGCCTAGATGATAAGGGATAAAACTGCGTGTCTACTTGAACTTGCCACATTATCCTAATAACTGGAATAATTGGCATAATTTGCTAGGGACCTTGCCCTGGTTGAATTGTTATAATACCATTTAGTTCCATAAGATTACCAATCTTCTCTTATCAATCCATTCTTCATTGAATCCAAACTGCCTAAGCAAAGTATTGAGAAAGCTCTAGTTGATTCTATAATCTGCCTTGACCATGTCTAATTCGAACATGACATTGCATTCCTAACCTTCTGATCTAGATTATGCTGCATTTCTTGTGCCATCCGATAAGTCTACCTGGTACAAACCTCAGATTGCGGGGAGCTGTGAAAAACTTCGCTAATGATTTTACTAAACATTATGCATATACTGATTGGCCTAAATGAAATATTTCCTTCTCTGGAAACAGGAAAATTGTAGATGATGTGAAGCCTCTAGGAATACGAGAACCATCAACGAAGTTCTTAACTGTGACAGACATCTCTATGAATAAAAAACTCTAGAAATACTGATAAACTAAAGAAAATCCATCTGCACTATCTTGCTAAATCTGAAGATAGCAGATTTAACCTCTTCCAGTGAAGACAGCCACTGAGCATGGAGTTACCACAATCTTCTACATGTTTTCATATAAGATTGAACTGCTACTCCTGAAAAGAAACATCCCCCTTCTGTCAGAAGTTGCTGAAAAAATTCTGCAACAGATTGTTAAATCAAACTGATTGAGATCAAGATAGAGATAAAGATATAGACATAATTTAGATACGATTTTAAAAGTAGATTTTGATTCCAATATGTTATTTTTATTATATTTAGTTTGAATATTTTGATTAGATTTATAGTTTATTAGAAGTTCTTTTGCTTTTAGCTTATTTGCTCTATAAATAGAGGGGCTTATTCATTGTAATATTAAACCCTTGATTATATGAATAAATTGATTTTCCTTTGCCCTAAGTCCTTCTCTTCTTTGGCTCCTTTTTCTTTCCGTTTCTCGTCATATTCGTTAACAAATTTTACGCTTCTGCATCACACACTGATATCCTCAGTCCAAGATCCTTCTAGTAGGCAAATTCTATTGACTCCACTCTTGGATCGCTTATCATTGCTAACAGAGCAGAAATTCAGCTTGTTATGTAAAACTATCCTAGATTGTTGATTTGGGCATGAATCAAAAACCTTTACGATCCTTTTGGCATTGATGATTCTTCATGAAACATGAATGGAATGGATGTTCATTTTGGTACATACTACACAGATCCACTCTTATTTCTTAAGGTGTACTACAAAGCAGTTCTTAGAACTAGACTTGGAGTGACAAATATGTTTTCGATTTAGTTTTATTTGTTTTTCTTACAATAAAAAACTAAATAATTAAGAGATTTTGGTTCTCTTAATATTCTGATTACCTTGATATAACTGTAACAGCTGAATAAATAGTAATAATCAAAAGATAAAAAGCAAAAAGAAAGTTGCAGAAATGGAAAAAAGGTATATCCTAAGTCATGCATCAAAAGGATGCAAATTAAAATGAGCTTAAAACAGAAATGAAGTTCACTCTCATACAACCAAAAAAATGACTAACTAGGATACACTAAGTCCACAAATTTTTATCAGCAGCATATTGCCGTGGGGGTAAGATCATCGATAAATCCAGTGGGCAACCTTAACTCCATATTGTCGTATTTTTATTGGCTTGCACGACTCCTTGTTGTAACAGTAAGTTTCCTTCCTTAAGTTTATTTCCTTATAACGCGTCCACGATTTTATTCGAGCGCCACATTGACCTTCACCTGTGCGCTGCCAAGTTGTTTTCGTAACTATCATCTGGTACCAAAGTGTTAGCTTGGTTGGAGCCTGGAGGTATATTCATCGGTAGGCAGGGATTTTATGAAGACCAGAGAGATGACGGTGATGCCGAAGGTGACTATTGTGGACTCAAGCAAAAGACGGCGAAGAATGTGCAATCCTGCCACGTCTCACTGCTGGAAGCCTATATGGCCTTTTCTGCCACGCTAGTGCTTATGTGTAGGCCTCTCAGGATCCAGGGTGTAATAATAGTCCTTCAAGCATGGTTTATCTTATATTTGACACATATCTTTTATACATCGCGATCAGTACATTACATGTATTGATATACAAGGTTTAAAAAAAATAAATGTATTAAAGAAACAGAGGGATGAGAGTGATGTCCAAGGCAACAACTATGTGCTCATGCGAAATAGGCGAAGAATATGTGATCCTGCCACGTGTCTTGCTGCTCGATACGTATGTGGCCTTTGCTTGACACATTGATGCTTACGTGTTGGCCTCGCAGCATCGAGGATGTATCAATTGGGCAGGATTAAGTTTTGGGAAAAATTCATAAATANCGGCGACTATTCGAACGACCATTCCTACGCCTATTCCAGCAATCATTTCGATCACAGATTAATAATTTAATTAGTCACATATTATTTTTCAATCACAAATAATAATTTTTATACGTCACATATTATGTTATGGTCACAGTTCAAAAATTTTATAAGTCACATTTAATTCGGTGGTCACAGATTTCAAAATTAGTTGGTCACATATTAAAATTTATAGGTCACACTGTCACATATTTTCAAAGTAATTAGTCACAGATTTTTTACAGTCACAGATTATATAATTTTTAGGTCACAGATAAAAAAAATAGTGAAAAATAATCTGTGACCAACAAATTTGAAAATATGTGACCAATGAATTGTCAAATTGTTGGTCACAGATTAACAATTTTTTAGATCACATGTTATTTTTTGTCACAATTTATCTTTTTCATTGATCAAATATTGTCTATCCATCACATATTAATCAATTTAATGACCACAAAAGACCAAATAATCCATGACCACACCCAACACTTGTGACCTTCACCTCACCACTCCCATAAGCACCACCACCACCGCCGTCGTCGTCGTCACCGCCGCTAGAACCACCATCACCTCTGGACAGTAACGACATCTCAAACAAATCGACACATCGCATGAAAACACCACCACATCGTCGTGCAAAATACACCACGACCTCGGTAGACCTATCGCCCACAACATCTCACCATCACCTCGGACCACTACAGCCCCCATCCACCCCAACTAAAAACACACCCAAAAACCCGCAGATTGTGGAGCTACGATCTGGACATGCTGCACAGACCAAAATCAACACCACCACCACCACCACCAAGATCTACTACCACCACCACATCCAACATAACCTCCACCACCGTTGGATCCAACAAAATCACACCCGCCCAAACACCACCACCACGAGCACCACTACCACCACACAAAACCTCGCCACCACCCCACCCATCCGCATTCCCACCCCCGCAGCCAACA